ACACAAGGAAATACTTGTAAAGCCAAGCACAGTCATTCAGTTCTGTCTGACTCTACAAAAGTCCATGGGGTTTCCTTGGCAAAGAAAATGGAGTGGTTGCCTTTTCCTTCTTCAGTGTGTCCCCATTTTACAGATGAAGAACTGAGAAAAATAGTTAGTGACTTGCTCTGTGTCACATAGTTAATAAGTGCTCTATTATTCACTGTACCAGCTAGCTGCCCAGCATACAGTAGGGGTTAAATAAATGCTTGTCTAAAAAACAAACCTGGAGAACACCGTAAGAGGGCAGCCAGAATGTGAGAGGCCTCAAGAACTCACCACAAATGGGTCAGTTGAAGGTACTACATTTAGCCTGGAGAAAGAAATGCTTGGTAGAGAGGGAGGGAGATACGGACAGTCATCATCACTTTACCTTTCAATGCCTGGCATATAGTAAGTGCTAATAAATACTTGCTGACTGACTGGGGGCGGATTTCTTTAGGAATTTAAAAGTATGGAGGTGGGGTTCGATGTCTATCTGGCTCCCAGAGAGGAGAACAAGAGAAGGGGCAAGAGGATGAAGGTGCAGACGCAGACGTAGGCTTGATGTCAGGAAGAACTTACTAGCATTAGAGCTGCCCCTAAGTGGAATTGCGGGGCCAGGGAGTCCCAGGGGGTACTCAGGTTCTCCTCCTTTGAAGACAGAGGTGGATGACCCCCTCAGGGAAGTCAGAGAGGGCATTCTGGCACAGGCTGGACCAGGTTGGTTCTGAAGCCCTTTCCTTCTCTTGAGATTCTGCCCTTCCTTACTCAAAGGCCAGTCATTTCCTTAGGGTCTTAAAGTCCTTTCTGTAGTCACTCTGAGGTCATGGAAAATTTACTGCCCCCATTTGACGGAGGAGCCCAGAGAGGTTTTGTAGAATGGCATAGCTCGAAGCCACCTCATCGAGCAAGTCTCAGCCCATTCCCATTTTATTGATGAGAAAATGGAGAACTGGGATGGGGAAAGTTGCCCCAAATTCCATCTTCCCTGGGGAGGCAGGGGGAGATGGGAAAATCATAGCATAGGGGACTGAGGTGGCCCCCCCAGTCATAGTTTTAGGGCTCCAGGGGGGATCTCAGAGAGCATCCGGACCAACCTGTACCCAAGTGGGAATCCCCAGTATAGAAATTCATCATCCATCACGGCAGACCATCCCATTTTTGGACAGCTCTCATGTTGAATTATTGAGTTTTTCCTTAGACCGAAGTGAAAACTGCCCTTTTACCCGATCCCAATTGGACCCCGTTTCTGCCTTCCAGAGCCAGGCAGGCTCTTCTCTCTTCCACGTGACAGCCCTTCAAGTATCTTACGGCTGTCAGATCCCAAGAACTCCTCTTCCCCATCTGCTTTTTTCCAAGTCAGCAAGCATTTATTAAGAGCCTATTACGCGTCAGGCGCTGTGCTGAGCTGGGGATAGGAAGAAAGGCAAACCCAGTCTCTACCCTTTGGGAGCTCACAGTAAACATCTGCAGTCTCTCCAGCAGTGCCTAGCACAGTGCTCTGTAAGTGGCTTAAAAACGGCGGAACTGCGTCCTCTTGTGTCCTAGGCATCTTTTATCTTCCTGAATATGTGGTGCCTGGATGTGAGCTCAATAATCCAGATGGTTTGACTAGGACAGAGTACGGAGGGAATGACCCCTACCCAACCCCCACCACGTTACGGTTTGTCGTTTCTGCGCACTAATTTTTTAGTCATATATGACTGACTCCATTTGGTAATGATACTGGTTTTCCATTTCCTTCTCCAGCTCATTTTACAGATGAGGAAACTGAGGCCAAAAGGGTTAAGTGACTTGCCCAGGGTCACTCAGGAAGATGAGTCTTCCTGACTCCAGGCTAGGTGCTCTATCTGCTGCACCATCTAGCTCTCCCCACCACATTCTGCTTTGGACACAGTGCTTTTCAAGGCAGCTTTAAGAGCACGTTACCTTTTTTTTTTTTTTTTGACAAGCACATCACACTAAGGATTAAGAGAGCTTGCATTTCACTAAGAACTCTAGATCTTTTTCACACGAGCTGTTGTCATCATACTTTCCCCACTCTGTAAATTGTGGTTAGATTTTATTTTGAAACTAAGTGTTGGACTTTTCAAGGATGCCCTATGGTGTAGTATAGCAGATAGTGTGCTGGACCTGGAGTCATGATGACCTGAGTTCAAATCCAGCCTCAGACACTAGCTATATGATCCTGGGCATGTCACTTAACCTGTATGCCTTTTACAGTTTCCCCAACCATAAAATAGAGAGAACAATAGCATCTAACTTCCCAGGGCTGTTGTGAGGATAAAATGAGATATTTGTAAAGTACTTAGTATAGTTTATGACAAATAGTCGGTGCTTAATAAATGCTGTTCCCTTCCCTAGCAGTCTTACTAGATTTGGTCTTTAGTTCTACATAGATCTTTTTAGATCTTGAATAATAATATGCAATACATTAGCTCCTACTCTGTCCCTCCTTCCACCAAAGGAGGTCAGAGGTGGAAAAAGGACAGTATATGTGCAGATGTATGTATACATATGTATATATACATACATGCATGCATGTGCTACACAAGGTATCTCAGAAGTCTTAGTTGTCAGATTTTACGTGTGCACACACACGTGCATGACATGCCCCTCCCTCAGACTCTGCAGATGAGCATCTACCACTTCTCGGGGCTCTTTGTACTACTCTGCCTGGGCCTTGGATGCGCCCTCCTCACCTCTCTGGGTGAACACATCTTCTACCGCCTGGTCCTACCTCGGATCCGAAAGCACGCCAAGCTACAGTACTGGCTGCACACAAGCCAGGTGAGTGGCCCCGGCTTCCTGGGGAGGGAGATGGCAGCTAGTCTGAGCCATGCGTGGACTTAGGGGAGGGCCAGAGAGACCCACTCCAGACAGAATACAGGAGTCCCAACAGCATGCCCAGAATTCAAACCTGAGAATAAGAAGGGTCAGCTCAAGGCTACGAACACTAATCATTATAGCTCCCCTGCCAATTCTGTAGGCTTTTGACCCAAAAAGCCCGTGGAGACGGGAATTCCAATGTTATCATGTCCATTTTACAGTAGAGAAAAATGTCCAACAGGAACTTGGGTAGCCTGATTCCAAGACTGCTCTATTGCACTCTTCCCTAAAGGACTCACAGAAAACAAATTGAGCTTTTTTTTTCTAATTCTAGTGACCCAAACACCAGGGTCAAGGGAAACGTTCTATCCTCAGAAATCCCAGGGGTAGAAGGGAAAGGGAAGGAATGTTGGCTCACTGCCCCCCCCATCCCTCTCTTTTGCATGGGCTGGTAGAAAATCCATCGGGCTTTAAACACCGGCTTAGACCAGCAGAAGAACCAGAAGCCGGAGCCGGAGCCAAGGTTCGCTGTTGAGAAGTCCGGACTGCCTTCCTCCCAGGGGAGTCCCCAATCTGAAGGGGGTACTTGGTGCCTGACCTCAGGGAGCCCCTAGTCTGAAGGGGAAGGAGGGCTTTCTGGAGTTAGCACTCGAGTTAGATTCTAAGGGCTGGGTGAAGATTCAACAGAGAGGTTAACAGAGGAGGAAACCGGAGGCGACGGGCCATATTCCGCGATAAGGACGTGACCAGGGGAGGGGCAGAGCAACAGATGGTGTCGTTGCAGGTAGTGACAATGGTTCCTCTTGTTCCAGCTGCGATCCCCAGTGTGAGCAGGGCAGCAGGAACAGCCTTAGGACAACCGTGAAGGGTGAGCGTAGGGTCCGATTTCAGGAGCCGGAGGTCAAGGGGCCTGACCTGCAGCTCACCAACGGGCGCCTGCCTCAGCAGCAGCTCGCAGTGCCGCCAGAAGGACTTCCACAGCCCCCTCCTCGGGCAGCTGCTGCTGCTACCACCACTACTCCCACCACCCAGAGTGAGCTGAGGGCCCTGGAGCTGAAAATCGAGGGCATGAGGGATCAGCTACGGGCTGCCCTGCTCAGGAAGAGTGAGCTGGTGCTCTTGCTTGGGAGGGACCTGCCCCCCTGCAGCCGGCTCCTGCTGCCCCCCCCGGAGGTCAGCGAAGACAGGTAACCGTGCCTGACTGCCCACCAATCCCACGGCCTTCCCATTACCTGGCGCTGACACTCTCTGGCCCTGGAAATGCAGCCACTCTGCCTGGAGCATATTGGAAGGCAGCAGGTGGGAACCTACCTAGCTCTGCCCAGTGGACAGAGGTGATGGTAGCACCCAAGCTCCTGTTTCGCTCTGCTGTTCTGGGCATTCCTGGCCGATTTCCTGTCACCCTTTCTGCACACTCAATACAACAGCTGCTGCCCTCAGGCCCCTCCACATAATGAAGACCACTTCTAAGTCACGATGTGCCCATCCTTTGGTGTCAGCTGGCCAGGACAAGGCCCAGGGAGAGAACAGTCTGAGGCTAATTTTGGCCAAGGCAGAAACTGCGTGCAGGTCATCCCGAGACGACCCAGCACAGGCTGAGGGTACTGGCCTCTTGAAGCAACATCCCCTTGCATGTCTCTGAGCTCCACTTTAACTAGGAAGCATGGATCCCAGCCTCTCCCTCGACTGTGCCCCGGTGTCAGCTCCTCAGCTGAATGGCCCCAGCAGTTTCTCCATCCTGGGGCCTTAACATTCCATAATCCTGTAGTTAGAGCTGGCAAAGAATTTCATCATTTAAGAATATTTTAAACACCATAAATAGGAGCCTGGAGACAAAATACAGATGTTGGTCTTTCACTTTCCTGTGGGCCTGGCGCAGAATCAGGGCCAGATGCAGGCTGCAACAAACTGCCAAGGATGAGTGAATGCAGGGGGTAACCCAAAACATGCCCCGCCAGAGAGAGGGCACCAGTGAAGGGTACCACCTGCCAGCTCCAGTGCCGCCTTGAGGAAGGCCTCTCATCTACCGAAAGACAGATGAGAACTGGGGGCAAGTACCCACAGCAATGAAATCATGACTCTATCCCAAATACTGAAGAACCCCTGGCCCTTTTAACTCCTCCGGGGGGAAGTCAATATAGAGAGAGCAATTGTTAGATAGACTATTTATTATATATACAAACACAATTTTTGTACATTACAATTAAATAGAATGGAATGAATTTTTTATTCTTCATTCCTCACCAAGTGATTTGGTTGATTTACTCAGCCTCCGGACTCATCTTCCAAAGCTCTTGCCCAAAGGCCCAGACAGAGCAAGTCAGATTTCCAAATCTGCTCATGGTAGCAAAAGGAGGGTTTGGGCAAGGGATTGTCTTCTCACTCCCCATAATCTTTCATTCCTTTTGACTGGTAGGGGCTGGGACCCAGAAACTGTTTAAATCCATTTCCTGAGCCAGGAGATCATCAGCTTTCCCACTGAATTCTCACAGTTCCTGGGGCCATAATACCTACTTGTACAATTTCCCCTATAAATGGAACATTTCACCAGGTGCAGCTTTGTAACCAGGTACAGGGTGGGGAACAGGATATGTGGGGATACCTAAAGTCAAAAATCCTGCCTCTAATGAACAAGATTCCTTATGGGTGTCACTCAGTGGCTTCACATGGTGCTCAGTTCTACACATCTGGGGACTGCCTTCTCCCCTTCCTTCATACCAGAGCTCTGCGCATATATGTATATGTATGTATGTGTGTGTATATGTATGTATGTGTATGTGTGTGTGTGTGTGTGTGTGTGTATTAGACACACACAAAACACACTCTCCTCAGGCAGCTCTACAGATTCCTCTCAGAGTTAGAAGAGGCACAGTCATTTCCCTCTACTGTCCACTTCCAGCTGCCTGGAAGCAATCCCTCTATGTGGGAGCACCTGAGTCAGTGAGCGGAGCAGGTACTCCCCAGCCAACCAAGAGAGCTAAGAAGTGGCCTGTGGGTACCACGCTGCTTCCCACTGGGTAGAATCCAGGCTCACACTGCACCCACCACTACCTTCCACAGGACTCTCCCAGACCTCCTCCTTAAGAGTCAGCAGGAAAGTCAAAGCTCTGGCCAGAAGGAGGGAGGGAGAGTAAGCCATACTCCAGGCCCAAGAAAAGGCACTGAACTCCAAGCACCAGGCAGAAACCCCTGTGGAGGGATGGAGAGGGAAGAGAAGAACCCAGCAGGCTATCATACTGAAGGCCTCACTCCTACTCTCTCTTCTGTGGTCCTGCATGTCTGTGCCAGCTGATGGCTGGCCTTCACCAGCTGTGGGCCATTCGCTCCATCCTTCTGCCCACCACATGCATTTCACTCCTAGCCAAACCAACCCTCAACTAACAGCATCGTTGTTTGCCCTGGGCTGTAGAAGGAGGCCAACCTGGAGTGGGAGGGGTAAAAGAGGGGCTGCCAGAGATGCTCCTACCCATGGAGAGGTGCGACTCCACCTCCCTCCTGACACTCTGACTGCTCTGTACTAGGGACCCTGGGACCCTGCCCCACACAGGCTTTGGCTCTGCATCACCCAACTTCACAAGGCTCTTACAGAGCAGCTTCTCACTGCCTTCTCCCCACCCCACCCCACAGCCCTAGCTCTTGCTGCCTCAGAGGACTGAGAACACAGTGAGTACTTGGTGGTGCACAGAACCCCATTCAAACCATTCCCAAACAGAGGCTGAGTAGAGTGGTTTCCCTCCAGGTCTCCTCTAGTCAAAGGGGAAAAAAAGGGTTCTCTCATGGAAAAAGGTCCTCATGCCCCAGGAGGAGAGAAGAGTCAAAATCACCAGAAATTAGGACATGTCTGCACAAAGCAAGGAGATGGGGAAATTCCATCCTGGGCTCCAACAAGGCCTGGCACCCAGAAGGGGAGGCAGCAGCACAAATCCCGGACGAGGAGAGGAGGAATTGTTTGGAGGGGAAAAAGAAACCCAAGGGTAGTGGTGCAAGGAAGCCCACAGGTTTAGGCCAGGAGTTGGGCAAAGAAACCAGCTGCTCTGGAGACTACCGACATTAGGTTACACATCTTCCCATGGAGCCCGGGGGGACACAGAGCTGGGACCAATTGCCCTTGGTGAGTAAGGCCCGTGCCTCTGGAAGGCTGCTCTCCCTGAAGCTGCCTTCACTCAGTGTATTTAAAAATAATTTTAAAAATTCATCTGAATCTGGTTGGGGAAGAAAAAGAGCCAGTGTCTGACAGGAACAGAGAGATTCCCTCTGCCCTATCAAGGATCAGCAAAAGTGCTCACGAGGGACTCCTAAACTCTGCTTCTGAAAGCATGGCTGGGAGGGCACCATTGTCTTTGGAGCAGGGATGACTCTCCTGTGTGGCCTGAAGATCTGGGGTGACACACCTGTCTGAGGTGGGGCCTTGGGCAAGGACCTTGGAGACGCTCTCAGAAAAACTGACAACGTCCTGGCCACCAAGTGAGAGTGAACTGGCCCTAGTCTGATCAGCAAGGGAAGCAGCTGGCTCAGAGATGCCAGTGGTGTGGGCTGGAGGGGAGGCAGGAGACTCACGGGTGCCAGTGGTGTGGGCTGGAGAAGAGGCAGGAGGCTCCGGGGTGCCAGTAGTGTGGGCCGGAGGAGAGGCAGGAAGCTCCGGGGTTGTACCTTCTGCCTGTGGGGTTACCAGTGTTGCTGATGTCACTTCAATGGTGATGGAGCCAGTGGTGGCCCCAGGGCTCTCACTAACTCGGATCTGGGCAACTAGGCCGGGGGAGGTGGTAGCAGCTGGGACATTAGGGGGACTTCCATTGGCCAGGGCTCCAGGTCCTGCTCTCTGCTCTAGGAGGGAGGCACTCAGATCAGAGAGAAATGAAGGGTCCGTGAAGATAGTGGCTGTCTCAGCCATCCAGTTCAGTTCACCCCCTTCTGAGGCAGAGGTGGGGCCGGCCCTCCCCGGGGGCTGGCCGGCTGCCGCTCCCATTGTGTAGAGAGGGCCCGGGGCTCCCAGGGGCCACAGCTGCGCCTGCAGTGTTGTTGTTGAGATTGTCCTGCAGGGCCGTCTGCGTGCCCTGGCCAATCTGCTGGTTCTGCAACAACATCTCCTGAATGCGGATCTGCTGGAGGATGGCCGGCAACTCAAAATGATGAAAAAAGTAGATCATGGAATGCTGTCAAGAAACAGAGGAGCAAGACAATCAGACTTATCTCCCAAAATGACATCATAGGGGGCTGTCGCCGGACTGGGAGAAAAGGAAATGAGAACTGGAAATTCTGGCCCACGAGTCTCCCCTTGAGTCCACAATGAGCACAGAACAAACACTATGGGATGAGCGAGCCCAGCAGAGGCTCGCTGGGGCTGCCTTCAAAAGCAGTCAATTCCCCTTCAGAAGAAGTCTTCAAATACAGCCACCCAGGCACTGCAAAGCACTTTACAATTATCTCCCCATTTTACAGATGAGAAAACTGAGGAAGGCAGTGGTCTCACAGCTAGGCAGAGATCTGAGCTCAGGCCTTGCTGGCCCCAGACCCAGGGCTCTGCGCAGGGTGGCGCCACCACGCGGGCTCAGAGAAGTCCAGGGAGTTTGCCACATCACAGAGCAAGCCTCGGGGCCACAATTAGCCTCTCCCGGGGGTTCCTAATGCCAAACCGAGTGGGATTCCTTCAAAAGTCCCAATGCTCCCCATCAACTGCTTCGCCATGAGATTCAGGGCTCTCTCCCCTCCTTTACGGGCGAGCTTTCTGGTCCCTTCCTTTCCCCTTTCTAGAGGATCATTCAATTCTTCCTGAAGTGACGGCCCTGGGTCTAAGAGCGGAGGTGGGGCACCCTAAAAAAAGCAGTGCCTCCAGTGTCTAGCACACGGCCTCAGGCCCCCTTTCCCCTTCCCGTACATTCTCTACACCCTGTATGTGCACACTGTCCAAACGTGATCTGGCCCAATCTCTCATGAGTCCAAAATTCCTAAGATATTAGGGTTGAGAGCTGGAAGAAACAATGATCATTACTGATGAGTCCAGCCCCCTCATCTATAGAGGGAAAAACTGAGGCCAGGTGAGGTAACCTAAAATGACTTGTCTAAGGTCACAGAGCCAGTGAAGAACAGAGCTGGGATTTGAATCCAGGTCCTCCACTCCAAATCCAGTATCCTCTTCTATAACCACAGATTGCCTTTCAGAGGCCAAACACAGGGTGAGGAGAGGGGCTGGGGGGGGGGGGCGCCGGCGGCGGCTTGCCTAGTCCTCGCCCTGTGTGGTCATGTTTCTTTATCCCCTGCCCAAGTTACCTGGATGAAGAGCCAAGAAGTGACCAGGGCCAAACTGCTGTACTGGCCATTGAATCGGTAGTGATAGGCATAAAAGGCAAAGTGGTACAAGTAGAAGAACCTGAAACCAGACAGAGAAAGGACAAGTGAGGGCCTGCCTGTGGCTCCTGGACAAGCGAAGTCACTCTTTACTGGCAGGTGCTCTCTGTCTATCCCAGGGTGCTCTTTACATCCCTTCTCTCAACAAACGGCTGAGAGAAGTTAGAATAGAGTCCCACATGCCCAGCTATCATTAAGTAGTGCCCAGGACACTTGCCTTGGGGTCCAGCGCTCTGTCCATTATGCCCTGCAAGGAGCAGGGCACGGCAAAGGGAAGGTCTAGGGCCTCCTCCTCAGCCTTGCTTAGTCTGAAGCCCAGTGTCCTTCAGGATGGGGGCTTTTCCCCGCACAGGTGTGCCTGGTCCTGGGGCCAGTGCAGGGCACCTACCTCAGCCAGTGCCTCTTACTGGTGTTGGTGTGGCAGCAGATGGCATCATACTGGTCAGCCAGCCACACGATGAGGATGATATAGAACGCTGTTGTGGTGTCATTGAAGAATTCAGACATGATGGCTTCCATACCTGGCAGGAGCAAGGAGGAACAAGTGTGTCTAGAACGTACTCTGGGCTCCCCAAGCACCTCCCAAGACGGACCGTTTGGTCGGCACCCCCTCAATAAGCGTGCTCCTAGCCCTCCTCTGCTTTAGGAAATGATTTCATGAGTGTCTGCACATTCTTCTCCCTCACAAGAACAGCTCAGGTCCCTGTGATTCAATTATTCTCCTCCCTGCTTTGAGTTCTACACCAAGGCCAACCAAAAATAGCTTCCTCCAAGCTCTGGCACTTGGAGAGACGAGCTCTGAAGAACGTGAGCACTTGCTAACTCTGGAGAGTTAGAGACATCCTCAATCTACGTTCCAAACCCCAAGGACGAGCGGGTAATGTCTGGGGTTATGCTGAACTTGGCTAACCAACCGCGGCAGCTGTAAAGTGGGCTTCAGTGACGTGGGACAGGACGGGACGTGGGGGCAGCAGGAGAAGCTCTGGCTGTCCCATCTACAATGTGCGGGGCTGCCACACTTACCGACAAGAGCCAAAATCACTGTAAGCAAGGGCGCGGCGGGGAAGGCGATCGTCATGTTCATTTCCAACATCTGTAGGAGGTCCACTGCAAGATGAGAAGGGCAGGAAAAACCCCTAACTTAGCAGAGAGGCCAGACAAGGGGCGACAACAGAGCCTGACTGCAAGAAGTGCCGACGACTCGCAGAGCGGAGGGGAGGAATGGACCTGCAACTGAGCGGCAAGAGCATGGAGGTGGCTGAAGACAGCTTACAAGCCATGCGCTGGTTTGCCGCGGGTGAAGAAACTTCTTGGAAAATCAAACCAATGGTGGCTAGCAGGACCAGCAAGACCAGCTCTACCACTCTGGGCCCACTGTGTATGGTATCCAATGGGCCTCACTAAAGGGACTTCTTTCACATAACCAAGAAGTGCCTAGGATCACAACCTCGAATGCGGTAGTGTTTAATAAATGTCCGTAGAGTCACACTTACCAATGAAGACGAAAATCTGGTGGTGCGAATACCGCAGGAGCATTGAGACCGACAGAGTCTGCAATCACAAGACAGGAGAGGTTAGGCTATTGACCACTCTACCAACGGGCACAGCTGCATCAGGGAGAACGGACGGACTTGGGCCCTAGCAGGAGGCAATTAAGAAGTGACTTACAGGAAGCCTTTCTGGCTTTCGAGGTGCTTTATGCGCATTATCATTTTTGAGTTTAATAGCAACCCCAACGTAGCAACTATATTATTGTTCCCATTTCCCAGGTTAGTGAACTGAGGTTCAAAGAGGACAAGAGCCTCAGCAACGGTCAGTGTCAGAACCAGGATTTAAACCCAGGTTTTGCTCAACTCCAAGCACAGGGCTCTTTCCACCACTGGAAGGCTTCTTAACCTTTTTGTGTCTGGCAGTCAGTCTGGTAAAAGCCCATAGATCCCTTCTCAAAATAATCCTTAATCTGAGTACATAAAATATGGAGAATTACAAAGGAAACAAATTATACTGAAATACACAGTAATCCATTGTTTTTTAAAGTTCACAGATCCTACTCAGATTAAGAAGTCATGTGTTTTGACATGCTGCCCTCTCCAAATGTGGAAAGGTAGTCAATTATGATGGATGCAAGCTTGCACTTTTGTGATCCATGCAGACGTCAATTAATTAACCTAGAAGCCTTGCCTTATTGTGGAACTGTATGGAAATTAAAACATGAATTCCCAACTAGGGAGGTAGAGTAGTGGTGAAACAGTTCAGTAGGTCTATTGGAAAAATGTCAGCTTCCCAGTTAAGACAGGCAACTCCCCACGAGGCACCAATGATGCGTGCACCCGGAGAGCTCAAGCAGTTTGGGGATCCAGTCCCTTACTCTCCACCCTCCCTCTCACAGGGAGGTCACTAGAGCACAGTTAAGTGGGGACAAAACCTCTTTCTGAAAAGATCATGACGCCTCTGTTGGTAGATCAGAAGCTTTTACTAGAAATAGGTAAATACAACATAAATGAAAAGATCACTAGAAAGAAACAACCCTGAGAAACTGAAAAAGCAGTAATGATTGCAGAGAGCCAATAATGAAACACGCCTCCCCCTTCTATTGGAAGAGTCGAGGTCGAAAGGCAGAATGTGACACTGAGACAGTGGAGGTCATTTTATCAGCTGTTTTTAACGGTTTTGTCACAAAGGAAGTTCAATTATGGAAGATGGGAAGTGTCCAGAAATGACAGTAATATAAAAGGAAATGTGGGCCTAAGGCTCCACACAGTGAGACCAAACTGTTGCAATTTGACATCTGGTTGTTGAAAAAGGAGCTCCCTAAATTCTTCTTGCTCACAACCTAAACTGGAAGCTGACTTTTAAAATCCTGAAGGCCTAAAAAGTAAGACAATTCAGCACTTACAGTTTTTAAGTAAAATTTGGTAGCATGGTGAGAGGAGCGTCACACTGGTCTTCTCCACTAGAACATAAGCTCCTTGAGGACAGGAACTGTTTTGCTTGCTTGCATTTGTATGCCCAGTGCCTGGCACACAGCATTTAAGAAACACTTTTTCATTCATTCATCCGGAATCCCAGTTCTGCCACGTAAGGTATAATTCTGAGCAAGTCACTGAATTTCTCTAGGTTTCAGGAGAGGTTGAACTAGACAGTGAGCCTTTGTAGATCTAAGTCTTCGTAATCAAAATCAGTGACGAGCACCACAGTCTTCTAATATTCAGACTGGGCGTGCCTATACTACATGTAAACTCTTTTATGCCCACTGCCCTGGGTTTTATCATCTCTCAGCTCCTGATCCTTCACCTTCACTGCCAGAGGGATTTACTAGTCCCAGGACTTCAGAGCTAGAAGAGTTCTTAGCTCACTGACATCAACCAATCCGCTTTATGGGGGAGGGGGGGAAGGACAACAGGGACAGGGACTCAGACCCACTACAAGACACGGAGTCAGAATTAAATTCTGGCCTGGCCAGTTTGAAAGATCACACAAATTGAGAGGTAGAAACCACCTAAAACCACCTTTAGTTCAACCCCTAGCTGACCAAAAATCTCCACTCAGGTCTCCAACAAGCAGTCAGCAGAGGCCTGCTTGAAGATGTCTTACATAAGGAACTCACTGCCTATCAAATCCACCCATTTCATTTCTGAACAGTTATAGAAGCGATGCTTTCCTTATAACAAGACAAGCTCTTCCTCTCTCCAGATCACTAGCGATGACTGGTCCAGATGGTTCTTCTAGCTATGCCTTAGGCTCTGCACCTTTATCATCCATTTGCGCCTCTAAACAATCTTGGAGGCCCTTTCCAGTCCTTGCTCAATGTCCCCTGCCTAGTACAGGGCTTTCTAGTCTTCCTTCAATTCCTTGCAGAGACCAGGGTCTTTGGCCCAAGCCTCCAAAGGCTGTAGGTCTGGGTTTGTGAAGCATTAACGAGCCATGTAGTTTTTCTCACACTTACAAATATGACCATAATGACAAAGGCAGCCAGGTAGGAAGTTCTCGCCATCCACATGCTGACAAAGCGATAATGCTCCCCAGATACAACATTGCGCAGGAAACCTATGGAAAACAAGAAGAGTCAGGAGAGAGAATTCCAGTGGGTAAAGTAACAATAGCTTATTTGTCTTCATTTTAAGGTTTGCAAAGCTCTTTACTCACAATCATTTGGTAGGATAATGAGTGTATCATGGTCATATTACACAATTAATGTAGGGAAATCCTAAAGTGGGAACTCTCTCCACCAAAGCAGAGGACACCCTCATGACTTAGTAGACGAATTCTAGGGAAATGCCCAGGGGCTTCCTTGACTGTAAGCTCAGCTCACTCCCTAGGTCACACTGTCTCATCCCCAGAAAACGAGGCTCAAGAAAGCGGTGTCTGTGGTCACATGACAAGTAAGTCAAGGAGCTGGACCTTCTTAAAAACTCAGGCTCTTTGGTTCTAAGCCCTAGGACATGTCCAGTATACTAAAACCAGGGCCAATGCCAGAAACAGAAGACACTGCCGGTGTCTTCATGTAACCAGGCTGCTGGTTTTTAGATAATCAAAGTTCACATTTCCAAAATGATATATATAGCTTATGAAGTCGTCCTCATAGCACAACCTTTCCAGGCAGGAAGTGCAAATGGGATTCCCTTTGTACAGATAAATAAGTTGAAGCTTATTTGCTCAAAATTACAGACCTGAGGACAAAGACCACCCCTCCTCCATAGCCCCCAACCCAGAGATCTTCCCACCAAACTACACTGCTGTTCTTGGGCTACAGCACACATGCATGCCTGTACGTGTGCCCGTGCGAGCACATGCACACCCACTCACACCCCTGCAGAAGACCGCCCCCATGAGCTCTGTCTGCCCTTCCGGTCCCTGGCTGACGACTGACCCTTGTTCTCTTCGTTTTCCGCCAGGGCTTTCACGCTGGACATCAAAACATCATCATAACCCAAGAATTCATCCAGGAGCAAACGGCTAAATCGATCTCCAAAGCACTGATCCCTCGTAGGGTCTAGATTGGAGGAAGAGAACTATGTCCATGAGTTGAAAATCCAGGTCAGTCTGGAGCAAACATTCCATGGCAGGAGAACCTCAGACCTGCCTCTACAAATGGTACCTCCCACTGCTGGTTTCCATTGTGCTTTGCACATAAACCGTGCCCCCCCCCCACTTCACCTCCCAATTCCAAGGGAGGCAGAGGTTACGGGCCACATTCCACAGATGAGGAAACATCCTCGGAGGTAGCAAGTGACTTAAGGTCACACCAAGCTACTCAATGGCATATTCAGATGAGAATGTCCTCACTCCTGGGCTGTTCACTTTTCACATGCCCTAAATCCCAAACCTAGCTCCTATTTGTACGGGGCTTTACAGAGGCCATCTCATTTAAATTTTATTAAAACTCTGTGAGGTAATACCTAAGGCCTGCGTCATTAAGAAAACGACTCAGGCTTAGAGAGGTTCAAAGACTTGTTCAAGGCCCTCTGGTAGTTGAGGGAAGGAGTCAAAATCTGAACCAGGCCTTCTGTCTGGGCCTAGGGCCTCCTAGAACACAACATTCCAGCTTCCCCCACACTGCCCTCCTAGGTGCTTTTCTGGACGCTGTGCCCTGCCTTTTCCTGAAGCTACAGCTATTCCAAAGTGCCAGGCCACTGAAGAAACAAGCTGTCCTGTTCTGATCGCCCACAGGAACACGTGGGAAAGTGGAGAGAACAATGGTTTGAGAGCCAGAAGAGCTGGGAACATGTCCTGCCTCTACCACAAAGTTGCTGGGTACCTGGGGGAGTCACTTCTCCCTCTCCTCCTCAGCTGGCTGCTTCTACAAAATGAAAGCCTCTGACAAGCTAGTCTCTAAAGTTCTTTCAACTCTGACAATGTACAAGCCCATAAAGAGGTGTATGCGGGTTTTTGTTCTTTTTCTTTTTTTTTTTTTAGGGGGAGGAGGAATGAGAGCTAAGACAAGGGAGATCACTCACGTGACTCTGGAGTGACATTATAATCTAGTAATTCATCCAGTAGTCAATGACTAAGGGAATAATTTCTAGAGGAGGCAGCAGCCTGCGAGAAAGATAAATATTCTGAAAGGCTGAGATGAAGAGAGTGTGTATATTATAGACACAAGGAATACTTTGTGCAAATACAAAGAGGGGAGAAAGGGAATATTCAGTTTTGGAAACAGGCAGTACTCCAGTTAGGCTAGAACAGGGAACAGGAAGGGAAATAATATGAACTAAGGCTAGAAAGTAAGGCTGGAGGTATATCCAGGTATAGGCCACAATAGAAGTAGGGATGTTTGGAGAGACAGGCTTAGGGAAGGAAGATAAGGAGTTTGGTTTTGGATATGCTGAATTTGAAATTCCCATGGTACATTTAGTTGGAAATCTAGGCCTGGTGTGCAGGAGAGACTTGGCAGGATGTACAGATGTGGATAGCATCTCTCTGGAAATGGAGTAATTTGCACAGAAAATTTAACATAGAGGAGCAGACGAGGTCACTGAGACAGTGTAAACACAAAGGAAAGGAGGCCTGGGTTCTAACCACACAAAAGTGGAAGTTGAGTGGTCTGAAGGAGACAGAAGGAAAAGTCAGGCAGTAGGCATGAGAAAAAAAGTGTCATGGAAGCCAAGACAGAAGGGGTTGGCCAACAGTCCTAATAGCTGCAGAGGTCAAGAGGTATGATGACCAAGAAAGGCCACCAGATTTTGTAGATAAGATGTAAAAAGAAGATATAAAAAAAAAAGAGTAGGGAACTCAGGAGACTGAGCAGTGAAAAGAAGTGTTATGAGATAATCACATAAACTGGAGAGTTTTTAAAGACGAGGTTAGTAGAGGGCAAGGGGTAGGGTGCTAAGTGGAAGCAATATGGTGGAATAGCAGCAAGAAATACAGATCCTCCAAGCGGATCTGGAAAATGCACCAGACTGAATGCTGATGGGAAAATCAGAAAGGAGTCAATGTGAGTCACACGTCCAGTGAAGGCCGTTACAGAAAGGGAGATAGACAGAGAGTCTGTGAACACTAAGGATAGCTCCTGGCCACAATCAGACACGCAGAGCAGTCCAGCCCAGGGAGAGACTGTGCACCAGAGCAAGAGGAGTTCTCAGACACACACAGGGCCCCTCAGCTCAATGGGTGTTAACTGGCAGCCTTGTCACTCACTACCCAGTTCAGGGCCATAGACTCAGGGTGGCTCTAAGAAGGAGACCTGCATGCAGGGTAGGGGTAGAACAACATTCTAGTGTAAGGAGCCCTATGCTGTGTATCAAGAGGGCAGCAGCAGGGGTGTAGCTTAGACCCCCAGAAGCACAGTGGGATCCCAGCTCTAACTTCAAGCCCAACTAAAGCCTGCAAAGGAATAACCATGGCAAGAATCCTAGCCCACTTCTCTCACAGTACTTCCAGTTGGCTGACTGCAGCAGACCCAAACCCAGAGCAAGAACTAGTAGAGTTCAGACTACAGAGGGCAGCAATCAGACTTTTCCTAGATCAGCTCACTTTGGGAGCACCGAAGGCTTATAGGTCCACAGCCTGAGCTGTCACTGAGATTCTGGGGGAGTATAATACTCAATACTCCCAAGAAAGCATCAGCAGGACCAGCCCAAACCTTCCCTCCTCCACAAGTATGCAGAGCCAAGTCCTAACAACAAGTTTAAGGTCAGGAAGTAGTCTGAAAGAATGAACAAATAAAAAGACTTGTATGAAATGACGCAGAGTGAAGTGAACAGAACCAAGAGAACAATTTATACAATGACAATAAAATTGTAAAGACAGAGACAACCTTGAAAATTTCAGAGAACTATTGATGAAACATATTTTCCCACCTTCTGACAAAGGTGAAAGACTCAGAATGCAACATTTATGTAGTGTGTGTGTGTGTGTGTATACATCCAACTCTTTTATCATTTGTAAACCTCAGTTTCCTCATCTGTTAAGAGGGAGAAATAATCCTTGCATTGCCTGCCTCCCAAGGTTACTGTAAGGAAGGAATTTTGTAAACCTTATAGAGCTATTTCCAAAAAATCTAGCTCAACATGGCTTTCTGCTTTATGTGTATTTTAGAACCTAAGCTATCTCTGCCAAGTGGTCTAGAAGTTACTGCACAAAGCAGATGCTACAGAACCTTTTTCCGTGAAGAGGCAGAATTGGTCTCCAAGCAGCCAACTATCTAGACCAACAGAGATCTAAACAAGGATCTCCCGAAAAACATGCCTGACAAGTGGCCATCCAGCCTTTGCCGTGCCTTCAAGAGAGGAGGAACCCACCATCTCCTCAGGCAGACCACCCCACTCTTGGAAAGCTCTAACTGTTAAGAAGTCTTTCCTCTTATCAAATGTAAACTTGTCTCTTTGACACTCCACCCAGCCACTGCTCCTACCTCTAGTTTTGTGGGGAGAGCTTAGGTAAGCAGGGATATGGTTTTAGCAGACAGGGAAAAGTCTGAGCAGCCTTAAGTGATGCTAACTTTTGTTTGGTCCTTTAGCATGGCCATTTAATCATCTCTATAGTTACAATCCTTTTATTCTTCCCTGAAAAACCCTCTCAAGCTCTCAGCAGCAGCTCTTACACATCTTCCCCTAAAGTCCCCGGCCATCCCCATCCTTGAAGTATCAGAAGATAGCTATAGCTATATCCTAATGCAGACTATTAGACTATCGTTCCCCAAGACCTGGACAGTAAGCCTTCCAAAGTACGGTCCAAGATTAGCTTTCTTGACCGCTAGCACAGTGCTGATTCATATTGAGGATGCAATTCATTTAAAATCCTCAGCTCTTCAGATGTGCCAACTGCCCCCCCCACTCATCTTGCATTTAAGCTGAATTTCTGAAGTTCATTTTTTATCCCAAATGTAAAATCTCATATTTTTCCTTATTAAATTTCATCTTATTAGATTTGGCCCAATATTTTAGCTTATCAGGGTCTTTTTGAATCCCAACTCAACTCTGTTATTTGGTGTTAGCTATCTTTCCCCTGGCTTTTTGTTATCTGATAATTTTCTACCTGCATCTTTAGCCAAGCCACTGATAAAACATGTCAGTGCAACATATGTAACCTATATCAAACTGCTTGCCTTCTCAACGGGGGTTGAGCAGAACAGAGGGTGAGAATTTGAAATTTATCAATTTTAAAAAACCAATGTTAAAAATTCTTTTTACATGTAATTAGGGGGGAAAAAACTCTCCAAAAAATATGTCAGTACAGGGCCCAGAAGAACTCTTTGGAGCACTCCACTAGAGAACTTCCAAACAGACACTGAATCATCAACGATTATACTTCAAGGCTGGCCACTCACATCACCTTTGAATCCAACTACAACTCTATCACTATCTACTGCACATTTCTTCACCTTTTACAGAAAAAAAAATGCAAGCAGCTTTATCAGATATTTTGCTAAAAAATCTGGGAATACTCTAGCTCTAGAGTTCTCCTGATATCCCAGCTTAACAAGAAAGGGAGGTTAACTGCCAATCAAGAAGGGGCAGCTAAATGGCTCAGTGGATAGAGAGCAGGGCCTGGACTCAAGAAGATCTTAGTTCAAATCCAGCCTCAACCATTACTAGTTGTGTGACCCCAGGCAAGTCATTTAACCTCCATTTGCCTTAATCCCCCGAAAGAAGGAAATGGCAAACTACCCAGTAACTTTGCCAAGAAAACCCCACGGACAACTCTGGCACACTATGGTCCACAGGGTCACAAAGAATCGGACGTGACTGAACAGCAGCAGCATCAGTCGATAAGCATTCTTGACTTCACTATGTGCTCGACACTGTGCCAGATGCTGGGGATGCAAAGACAAAGCGAAACAGCCCCTGCCCTCAAGGAGTTTACATTCTAACAGAGGAGACAACACGTACATACAGGGTAACCCAAAAGTCTCAGTGCAGTTTCAAGGTATTTGTAATAATACAAAATGTCATGACTGGTCTTGATTAACCCATGCTGGCTTGCTGCTGTGTCATGTCTGACTCCTCATAACCTCATTTTTTGGGTTTTCTTGGCGAAGATACTGGGGTGGTTTGACGTTTCCTTTTCCAGCTCATTTTACAGACAAGGAAACTGAGGTAAACAAGATTAAGTGACTTGCCCAGGGCCACACGATCATCTAGTCCAACTCTTACCCCTTCTCCTCTACAAGTTGTCCCCCGTCCTCTGCCTGAAGGCCTCCAAGAAGGGAGGCAGACCACTGCACTTCGGGACAGCTGTTAGGAAGCTTATCCTTACATCAAACTGAAACTGACTCTTTGCAACTTCTCATTACTGTTCCTAGCTTTGCCCTCCAGGGTCACATGGGAAAGACTAATTCTGCTTCCACAGTCAGCCCCAGCCTTTCAAATATCTGATGACACTTTCCCTGTCCTGAATCTGCTCATTTCCAAATGGGTTCTGCAAAAATTGAGCCACAGGATTTTGAGACTCTAACCTCCAGGCACGGAAAATGTCAGCAGTGGTGTGCAAGCCCCCTTCTCTTTAGTATGCCCTTATTAAAAAGGTTCTCAGCTGTGATTCCATCGGTCTGGATCTGTTCTCTACTGACATCGACCCCAACTCTCCACACAGCATAAACAGATGGTCTTTGTGAGTAGCTACAATCAAAACAATTCACAGGTACTAGCCAGGTTCACGATAATAACCTAAGCAGCTGGTTGTCAGGCAACAGACACACAGGAAAGGACCTATGCTCAAAGTCCTGAGCAGAACTTGTGGACATATCCATAGCACGAGGCAATAAAAGAGGCCTTGAGAGGCAATCTGATGTAACAGAGTGTTGGTCTTGGAGTCAGAAAGACTGGGAAGCCAGCTATTTATAGGACTGTAAGCAAATCATATAAACTCTCTGAACCTCTGTTTTTAACCATAAAACGAGGATTATAGTGCCTACTCTTCCAAGGATACAGAGGTTCCAGTGAGAAAATGTACGTAAAACATTGTGCAAACTTTTAAAGCATTATAAGTTGGGGCAGCTAGGTAGTGCAGTGGATAGAGCACCAGCCCTAGAGTGAGGAGGACCTGAGTTCAAATCCTGTCTCAGACATATAACACTTACTAGCTGTGTGACTCTGGGCAAGTCACTTAACCCCAACTGCCTAAAAAAAAAATAGCATTATAAGTCAGCTATGATCACTGCTGTGATTACTGGTGTCTGATACTTCAAAGAGCCATGACTTTGTGGGGTCTAAGTATTTCTTCCACTGATGCAGACAGCAACCACCCATGGCCTGGTATTCAGGGTTGCCATAGTTTAAAAAAATTTTTTTAAATTGCCATCTTGCACATGAAAGCTAATTTCCCCAAATCTGGTCCTCCTCCAAACTTAGCCGTTTCTGTCAGATTCTCCACCACTCTTCTGATCAAAGTAGTCTGAAACTCATACTTGACTCTTCATTCTCCCTCACTCCCTTTACGCTATCAGTTATTCTCCCACAGTACTTCTGCCTCTGTGTCTTCTCTCTACTTTAATAGCTTCTCTCCAAGTTCAGGCCCTCATTCCCCTCTCATATGAACTATTGCAACAGCCTTTCTAATTGTGTTCTCTGTCTCCAGTGTCTTCCCTTGCAAATTTGTCCTCCATATAGTTTCCAAATAAATATTATAATAACATGACACAATGGCAACATAATGTAACAAACACCTGATACCATGTCACACCCCCAACACACCCTACCATCACCTCAAAAACCAACAGCACTCTACTACTGCTACAACAAAATACAAAATCCTTAAGATTGGCCTTTAAAGCCATCCATAATCTCTCTCCCACCTCCCTTTTCCAGTCACATTTCATTTTACTACATACACAATATTCTGTCTCCCACCTTTGAAGCCTGCCTTTGCACACACAGCGGGGCCCCCATGAGTGAAATGCACTTTATCTTTACCTTCACTGCTTAAAATGCTTTCAAAAGACAGTTCAGGTGCCCCCTAATATCAAAAGGCGCTTCCTGATATCTCCACTAGTAGAGAGTGTTACTCCCTACTTCTTGAAATTACATTATATTATTTGTACTTACACATCTATGCACGCTGTGTCACCCTGGTAGAATACAAGCTCCTTGAGGTCAGGGTTTATTTCATTTGTATCTCTGTATCCTCAGTACCTGGCACAGAACCTAGAACACACTAGGCTTTCCACAAATCCTTGCTGGATTGAACTGAGATGCCTGGGTGATGGATAAGCTCTCTAAACTTAGCTGGGCAGGTCCTTAGATGGATAAACAGTTCCTCACCCAGACTTTTTGGCTTATAGAGCCTGCTAGAGTCCTTCCCCCCCCCCCCCAACACTTCTACTACCAACAATGCCTCTGAAAAACCATGAGGAGGCACCAGAGTAGATTACAGTCTTTGGCTCTTACCTCATCAAAAACTGAAAACTCAAAACCTGAAGGAACAGGGGCTGGATCCAGAGCCCAGGAGCCCACAAGCTCTCTGGATCACAAATAAAACCAGAGGGCAAGGGAAAATACACAAGGTTGTTCCTGACAGTTCAGGATTTCCTGGCCTTCTGGGGAGTCTGAAAATGGAATATGAGCAAGGGAGGCCCCTTATTGGCACTCTAACCCGGAAGAACACTGGAAATAAAGGGAAGATCTTTGAAAATAAAAAGACAGATTGGTGGTATCATGTCCTTTGATTTGAAAAGCCACAAATTAACATTATTGATGTTGTACTGTATTTTTATTTATTTTGTTAAACATTTCCCAATTACATTTTAATATGGTTTGGACCGTGTGACTGACACCTCTTATCTAGACCAACTCATACTCAAGCAAAATTCCCTTTATATTAATAATGACTGACATTTTTATGGAACTTTAATTGTTTGCAAAGCACTTTACAAACATCTCATTATGTAATCCTTATTACAACCCTTTGAGGAAACCAAGGCTCAGAGATATTAAGTGACAGGCCTACAGTTACACAGTTCCCAAGGGTCAGAAGTGGGATTCAAACACTCAGCACTCTCTGCACTCTAACATGCTGCCTTTACAAAATCCCCCAGAGTCATCTAGTCCCTGTAAGTAGAACTATAAGGAACTTACTGACCTCCCGAAGCAGTCTAAGCCTCTCTGACTGAGAAGTGATCCAATTCCCTGTAGGTTTTCTTTCACACCGAACTAAATGGTCTCCCTGGGTCACTTCCCCTCAGTGGTCCCATTGCTGCAGCTAGGGCCAACTAGCCTAAATTTCACTCCTCTTCTCCATGACAGCTTGAAAACTACTTTAAAGCTACCTCGAAGACTTCTCTTCAAGGATCACAGAACACAGCTATCAAAGCTAGAGGGAACCTCACATAGCATCTAGCCAACTCCTTCCTTCTGAATATGGGAAAACGATCCAAAGAAGAACTGATCTGCCCAATTCCACAAAGGGAGAGTTTAGTCTTGGCTCTAAGCATGTAAACAATCTCGTCCTTCTGAAAATGGGCTGGTGTCAGATGTCCTGTGGAGGCTCCAACGGGGGCTCCACTTACCCAGCGTCACCACCATGACCGGGATGCTGAGGCGCTGCCGAGTGCTCTGAGACAATCGTAAAAACCCATACTCCAGGGAGTACTCCACTATGTACTCTTCTTGGGGCCATACTAGAAGAGAACAAGGGAAAGAGAGATAAGCATTTGAGGTGGAAAAGATGAAATTCCAGTTTCCTTAGATACCCCCCCCCAGTCTGAAAGAAGTTAAAGCAACACGACAAGGAACAAAACCACAGAATTGAGAGCTGAAAGGTGCTTTAAGTATCCCATCCAATTCTTCACTTTACAGAGAAAGACAGAGGTCCAGAGGGGATTATAACTAGTAAAAAGCAGAGCTAGAACTTGAAAACAACTGCAAAGATTCCCATTATTACCGCTATTTAACATAGTGCTAGAAATGCTAGCTGTAGCAGTAAGACAAGAAAGAGAAATCGAGGGAATACGCACGGCAAAGAGGAAATGAAATTACTACTTTTTGCAGATGATATGATTTATTTAGAAATCCTGAAGCATTAACCAACAATTAATTGAAACAATAAATTCAGCAAAGCTGCAGGATACAAAATAAATCCACACAAATCATCAGCATTTCTGTTAACAACAAAACCCAGCAGGAAGAGCTAGAAAGAGAAACTGCATTCAAAATAACTATAGAAGCTATAAGATACTTGGGAGTGTATTTTTCAAGATGCGCTCAAAGAACTTTATGAATCCAATTATGAAACACTGTAGAAATAAAGCCGGACCTAAATAATCAAAGAAGTATTAACTGCTCATGGGTAGGTTGAACTAATTTAACAAAAATGACAATATTACCTATACTAATTAATATTCAGTGTTATATCAATTAAACTACTAAAGATATATTTTACGTAGCTAGAAAAAACCCAACAAAATTCATATAGAAAAAAAAGAAAGGTAGAGAATCTCAAGGGTAATAATGGAAAAAAGTGGGAAGGAAAGGAGATTATCAGTACCTGATCACAAATTATACCACAAAGTAGTAGTTTTTAAAACCAATTTGGTGCTGGTTAAAAAACAGAGAAGTCAATCACTGAAAGAGATTTGGTACACAACACACAGAAGCAACAAACAGCAGCACTGAAACTGATAAACCTTAAAACCCCAAGTTGCAGGGAGAAGGGCTCAATGTTTGACAAAAATTGTTAGGTTCAAACCAAGCCTCATGTCAGATACAAAGATAAACTCCAAATAGATACGTAATACATATAAAAGGTCATATCATAAACAAAGTAGAGGAACAAGGAAGAAATTATGGATAAGAGAAGAGCTGATTATTACACAAGTGAGAAGATCACACATGATAAAATGGACAGTTTTGATTATATAAAATTAAGAAATTTCTGCTCAAATTTGTTGTTCAGTCATTTTTCAGTCACGAAAAATGAAAAAAGAGTCCAACTCTTGATGACCCCGTTCGGGATGTTCTAGGCAAAGATACTGGACTGGTTTGCCACTTCCTACTCCAGCTCATTTTACAGATGAAGAACTTAGGCACACAGGATGAGTGACATGCCCAGTGTCACACAGCTGATACATGTCTGAGGCCACATTTGAACTCAGGAAGATAAATCTTCTCGACTCCAGGTCCAGCACTCTATCCACTGCACCATCTAGCTGCACAAACTTAATGTAGTTAAAATGAGAAGACAAACAGATAAATGGGAACAACCTCTACAGCAAGTTTTTCTGATAAAGGTCTCATATCCAAGAGGGAATGAATTCAAATTTACAAAACTTAACAGCCATCCCCCAACAGCTAAACGGTCAAAAGATACAACAGGCAGTTTTCAAAGGAAGACATCTAAGCTATCAGTAGCCATACGAAAAATGTTCTAAATGACTAATAATTTCTCTAGAGAAATGAAAATTAAAGCAATTTTGAAGTTGGATCCATCTTATACCTATCAATCAGACTGGCAAAAATGACAAAAGGAAAAACTAACACATGTTGAAGAGGCTGTGGGAAAACAAGCACACTGGGTGCACTGCTAATAAAGCTGTGAACTGATCCAGCTATTTTGGAAAGCAATTTGCAATTAAGTCCAGAAGGTCATACCAAACTGTGATCCAGCTATAGACCACCACTCAGGACTATACCCCAAACTGCTCAAGGAAAGGGGAAAAGGCCTTATACGTATAAAGATATTTACAGCAGTTCTATTTATAGTTGCCTACAATTGGAAACTAAGGAAGTAACCCTTGGAGCAAAATGGCTAAACAAGTAATGGTCCATGGACGCAATAAAATATTATTGTGCCATAAGAAATGACAAAACAGGATCGTTTCTGAGGAAAATGGGAAGACCTTATAAACTGATATCCAGGCAAGTGGGCATAACGAGAACAACAATCTGTACAACATTATAGAGGAAAAATTTTTTAAAAGACTTTATAACCAGATTTGATTTATGCAACAATAAACCTCAAGTCCAGAAGACAGATGAAATAGGCCACTCAACTCCTGCCAGAGAGGTGATGAACTTAAAACTCGCAGAGATACACATTTTTGTGATATCTTGTTTTTTGGTCTATCTATGTTTATAATAAGGGTTTTATTTTTCAGTTGTTGCGGTTAAACGTAGGAGGAAGAGCAATGGGTAGGACAGATTAAGAAAAGCAAAACAGTACTTGAACCTGGTCCTCGGTCTCCAAAGCCAGTACTCTGGTCACTATGGCATATTGGCTCTCCTCAATGCCTGGGGCTAAGATTTCTTGTATTCCTCCTCCTAGAAGTTTTCTGGACATTACTCCTTCACCAGATGACTTGGAGCCATTAATCCTACTTGCACAGTTAACATATACACTCTAAGTCTGCAAGATCCAAGATCTGTGCCAGTCTGCTTGGAGTAACTGTAAACGTTTATGCACAACCTGCATGTGGGTAGACCCCTGGAGATTGTCATTTCTGTACAACAAATTTAAATGGGAGACCAGGTTTATTTAAAAATAAATCCCTATAACTCCAACTACTAGAGAGGCAGAGGTGTGAGCTCTCTTGAGCTCGGGAGTTCTGAGTGACAGTGGCTAAGGTGATGGGTTGTCTGTACTCAGTTCAACATTAATATGGTGTGGGGTAACTAGGTGGCTCAGTGGATAGAGCACTAGCCTTGAAGTAAGGAGGACCTGAGTTCAAATCCGGCCTCAGACCAAACACTTGACACTTACTAGCTGTGTGACCCCAGGCAAGTCACTTAACCCCAAATGCCTAAGAAAAAAAGGAAAACAAAACATTAATAATATGGTGAGTTCTCAGGAGCTCACCACACCACAAGAGTTTGGCTGGGGATGAGCTAACTGGTCAGGGTCTGAAATCAAACTAGTCAAAGTTCCCAGGCTAATCGGAGTAAGACTGGGCCCATGTACTTCCAGCCAGAGCAAGATAAGGATATAAAGAATTAGAGCCAAGTCAACAAACTATGGTATATAAATATAAAGGAATACTATTACACCATAAGAAATAACAAATATATAAAATTCAGAAAAAACATGAACTAATGCAGAATGAAGTAAACAGAATGAGAACAGCGCACACAATGACTACAATGACGTAAATAAATGTGAAGCGACACTAAAAGGCAGATGAACTCAAATTAAAGGTAGGAAACAACACTGGCTCCAAAAGACAGATGAGGAAATACTATTCCATTCTCTTGGCAGAGGTGGGGGATCTGCAGGGGTTGAATACTGTTGTACGTTGTTAAGACTGTTGCTATTGTGGTCGGTTTTGTTTACTTGTTTTTCTTTGGGGGAAGGAAGGGAGAAGAATTATCAGGCAATATCTGTGGTATCAAAAAAAGCAAACAAACAAGCCCCCAAAACGAACAATTATTCCTAAAACTTCAAATAGCCATTATTAGAAGCCTACAGAGGGGAAGGGACCTGCTCACGGTCACAGCGTCAAGACCACCGCTGGGCCCAAACCCAGATCTCTTGCAAAAGGCTTACTATAACTCTGCACTGGAGTGATCTGCTTTGCAGATATCAGCCCTATCCAGTGAAGACATCTGCTTCACAAGAATTCACTTATTCCTCCTTTTTCTGCACTAAGCCTAAAGTGGGGAGGCTATGCTTTGGGGCTAGGGAGAAAGGGGGAAAGAGAATATCTGGTCAACAAGAGGCCAACAAAATACATATGGAAAAGGAAGACATGAGGGGAAAAATAAAAGGAAGATATGAGTTTAAAGGACTTCTCTCCCAATTCAGTTAAGTCTGTGCTCCTGGGGCCCGGGCTGAACCATAATCCTACCGAGCACAGTGTCAATTCATCCTCAGAGTAACAGAGCTTAAACACACTTCTCCATTTGCAATGAAAAGTCACGTGCTGGAATAGGCAGAAAAGCACTGAAAAGGATGTAAGGTGTTCCACAAATGGATTTTCCTAAGCTGATCTACATCCCCTTCAACGTTAGGGCAGACTTTATATAACAGCTTGCAGTGTTGTAAGACAGACAATGTAAGGATTATCAACCCAATTTTACAGATTAAAAAACTGAAGTTCAGACTGGCAAGGTATTTTCCCAAGGTGACATGACCCACAAGCACTGGGGCCAAGAATTCAAACCGAGGTCTCCTGACTTCCAATCAAGTACAGTACCTGTTTTCATAGAGCTCAATTGTAATATAGATCAGAGCATGGAAAGTACATAAACGAGATGTGAAGCAAGGTCAGTATAAAAGGAAAGACATATTTCCAATGTTGGGGTGGTGGTAGTAGGTTATAAAAATCAGAATCCTCCCTTTTTTTATTTTATTAATTTATTTTGATTTATCAACAATCACTTCCATATGCTTTTGAGTGCAAAATTTTTCTCCCCCTTCCTCCCAACCCCCCTCCCCAAGATGGCACACAATCTGGTACAGGCTCTACATTTACATTCCTATGAAACATTCTTCCTTCTTCATGGTTCAGACTAGATCCCAACCACAAAATACAAAAACCCTGCCTGCTCTAACCCTGGACTAAGACTCCTCTGTCACTGCTGACCACAGCTCCTTGTCAATGGTAAAGGCAGAGACTGGGATAATAAAATCATACACACATAATGATATATATGCATATACATGTCCATATTTATATGCATATGTATACATGCACACACACATTTCCCAGAAGCTTCCAAAGCAATCCTACTGAGGACAGAAATACAAGTAACTAACTTTTATTTTACAACTGAGGAAACAGGGATTGACTTGCTTATTAAGTTTCTGATGTGCAATGGCCCTCTTCACTAAGTCCAGTAGTATTTGTACTACACTCAGATTCCTTACGCTTCACCTGTGGTATAGACTAGAAAAGAGAACCCTTCTTTGCATAACTTGGCCTTTACTTCCCTGAGTACAAGCTGTATCTTCCCAGTAGAATATAAGCTCCTTGAGGGTAGAGACTGTTTTATTTCAGTCTTTGTATCTCCAAAGCCTAGTCTGGTGTCTTATACATAAAAGGTGCACTAACAAAAGTTTGTCAGGTTGAAGTAAATTCTCTCAATCTGAGGGCTTGGTGAAACACAAGTCATGTTTGTAGCCAATCCCAGACATCCGTCCTCTCCCTCTCTTTTCCCACTGCTATCACCCTAGTGAGCAGAGGTTCTCCTTACCAGCTAGACACCCTTCAGGCTTTCCCATCCTAATCTAATCATCCAATCCAATAAATATTTATTAAGCGCCTACTATGTGCCATATACTGTGACAAGTGCTTGGGGATACGATTTATAAAAAGACAGTTCCTGCCCTCCAGGAATTTACAATCCAAAGGTAGAGAAGAGGGTGGGAGGAGAACTGGACACCAGGAAGGCATCACAGTCTCTGCAGCTGAAATCAGGCAGATCACCAGATACAAAGAAGAGTGAGCTGAGAGTCCAGTTTTAGCCCTCTATAAAGGACAACCATGGGAGGAATTTGGTACTCTGCCCTCCAAACCTGCCACCACAGGGAAGAAGTTGAGGGGGCAGTCAATCAACACTTGAGTTAAGCAGCAGGTGGTGAGGTTAGCGGTGAAGAGCTTAACCTTAACTTGTTCATTTGTGCCTCACAACCACTTTGTAAAGTAGCAACTATAGGTATTATCCCTATTTTACAGATGAGACAACTGAGGCTATGAGAGATTCCATGGCCTTTGTGTGGGCTTACAGAGTCATAGTTTAAACACAGGTCTTCCAAGTCCAGCAGCACTTTATCCTCTGTGGCCAGGAACCTTCTCTCTTCTGCCCTCATGGAGGATTCTGAGTGCAATGAGGTAATACTAAGTATTAAAACTTCAAGTGTACCTGCTACTAGCAGGTAAGCACCCTAAATCTAAACTGCACAGCCAGGCTAACACTAGACTCTAAACAGATGAGGCACTTAAAATTTTCGTTGTACTGCTCTGTAAGTAACAGTATACAAAACTCCAGCTTACGAGGGGTTTGAGTGAACACCGTTCTAGTTAATGGTAGACGCTGGACATTTCTGGACCCCCACCCACCTTTTCTACACAAACCAGGAAATGGGCTTTGTAAGCCAGAAGGAAACAGTATCCTGTGGATCCTGATAAGTTAGACTGGTCTTTGAAACCTTGAAGGAAATGCTACTGCTTTCTTCCCTGTTCAAATGTAGTCACTTTCTGTCAGGCTACTTTGGGCTGTGGATGGTTACAGTCAGGCCAGCTCATTCTAGTTAGCCAGCTGGATCAGTACTTGCTTTTAGGAATGGGGGAAAAAGGCTCATAAGAATGTAGATTTAGGCCTGGAGGGTATCTTAAAGGTCTTCCAGTCCAATTCCTATATAGATAAGGAAACTGAAGCACAGGGACTTAAGTAATTTGCTCAAAGGTCACTGATAACAACAACATTCATGATCTGAATGCAGGTCCTCTAATACAGAATCTAGCTTTCTCTTCCGTTAGTGGTTTTTTTTTTCCTTTCTGGTGAGGCAATTGGGGTTAAGTGACTTGCCTGGGGTCACAGAGCTAGTTAAGTGTCAAGTGTTTGGTCTGAGGCCAGATTTGAACTCAGGTCCTTCCAACTCCAAGGCCGGAGCTCTATCCACTGTGCCACCTAGCTGCCCCTTAACAATATCTTTCAAGTCTCTCCTCTTCTCCCTACTCACATAGCCACTATACTAATCCAGGCCCTGATCACCTCTTACTTAGACTTAACTATAATCACCTAATCGGTCTCCCTGCCTCTAGTCTCTATCCTGTCTAATCCACCTTCTTCTTTTTTTTTAAATCCAATTTTATTTTATTTTCAATTCTGAATTCTCTCCCTCCCACCATTTCCTGCACTTATGGAGAAGGCAAGAAAAACAAAACCCAAACCCACACCAAGCAAGTAAAAGAAATTCCTGTATTATCCATGTTCCCCTCCAACACCCCCCCCAACAAAAAAATGATTCAAAGAAAAGAACACATGCTTCAGTTTGTATTCTTTATCCATCATCTTTCTCTCTGGACGTCTCCGGTCCAATCCATCTTTCAAGGAGATACCTCCCACAGTCATCTTCCTCCTGTGTCACAGATGCTCAAAACCTTTTAGGGGCTCCCTCTGCTTAAAACAAACCCGACATCAACTCCTTAGTATGACCTATAAGTACTTCCCACTGTGTGGTTAGGCCATACCAACATGATAAAAAATGATGTTACCAACTAAACTGACTTACAGTATTAGGGTTAGGGTTACTGCTATAGCAATCAAAGCTACAGGTGACAAAAGGTAACTTTTAAAAACCAGACAAAACAGCAACATACCTCATTTGGAGGAACAAAAGGTCTAGAATTTCAGGGGAAACTATGAAAACCATGAGAAAAAAAGTACAAGCTAGGGGCATAGCATTACTAAACCTCAAAATATAATATAAACAATAATCAAAACTATTGGTTCTGATTTTTAAGAAATAGGTCTGAACAGACTAGATAAAGCAATAAACAGAAGCAAATATGAAGAGTAACCTACCTACTGTCCAATAAACCCAAGAATATAAATTACTTGGGGAAAGATCGTCTTTTTGAAAAAAACTGCTGGGAAAAGTCAAAAAACAGTATGGTAATTAGATGAAATCAATACCTTACAAACCAAAATAAACTTTTTAAAAGATAGACAGGGCCAGCTAGGTAGCACAGTGGAACAGCACAGGCCCCAGTCAGGTGGGCTTGAGTTCAAATTCAGCCTCAGACATTTACTAGTTGTGTGACCCTGGGCAAATCACTTGACCCTGGTTGCCTCCAAAAAAACCAAACAAACAAACAAAAAGAAACCCAAGACAACCTGAATATAATAGGTCACATTGGGGAAAAAAATTCAAAGAAAATGAAAGGACTGAAACTTTTAACAATTATGGTTAGCAAAGGATTTTTTTTCTTTTTTACTCTAATTAGATTTTATTTTGGGATCTGCATTTTCTCCCTCTCACATCCCTTCCCTTCCCTAGTTGAGAAACCAAGAAAAACAAAACAAAACAAAAAACCGTTACAAAGATGTGTCGTCAAGCAAAACAAATTCCCACACTGGCCATGTCCCCAAAAAAGTCTCAACTGTACTCTAACAGGAAAATTATAAACAGAACATAAGACAGAGGAGAGTATACAAGACAAAAAAAGATGATTTTAATTACACAAAATTAAAAAGCTTTTGCATTAATGAAACCAATGAAGATAAAAGAGAAAAAAAATATTTGCATCAAGTGCTACTGATAAAAGTCCACTATCCAAGATATATAGGGAACTGAAACAAATATTTAATGCCAAGAGCAATTCCTCAAATAGTAAGTGGTCAAAGGACATGAATAATTCCCAAAAGAAGAATCGCAAACTACAAAGAACTGCTTTAAAAGCACTAATAGTAAGTGAAATGCGAATCAAAACAAATCTGAGGTTTCTCCTCACACTCAGCAAATTGAAAAGATGATTAAAAAAAAACAGTCAGTATTAGAGGGTAAGGCAGGCACACCAATGCACTGCTGGCAGAGGTTTAAACTGGTCTAACCATTTTGGATAGCAATTTGGAATTATGCAGGAAAAGTGACCTGTCTATACCCTTTGAACCAGCTATCTCACTGATGGACACATACTCCAGATCAGTTAAAAGGCAGAAAAACAAAGATCTAACATATGCTAAAACAGTCACAGCAGCACTTTTTATAGTAGGGAAGAACTAGACACAAACTGGGTACCCATTAATAGGAGAATGGCTGAAAAAGCTATGGTATATGAATGTGATGGAATATTACAATACAGTAAGAAATGATGAATATGAGGAATTCAGAGAAATAAGGGAAGATTTAAATGAACTGATGTAGACTGAAATAAGTGGAAATGAAAGAATATACACCTAGGATTACACAAGAAACCAACCCTACTGAAATACAATAATACCAAAAAAAGTTCACAGACCCTGGGTTAAGATCTCCTGTTGTAAGTGCCCTGTACTGAAGGACATTCTTCTTTGGGGTTAGTGACCTACAAGTCCTCTCTGTTGCCTTCCAATTTTGAAATCTTGTCAATGCTATGACTAGAAGGACTGCAAGGCAAGCTGCTTCCTTCCACTACATCATGCTAATCTCTAAAGACTCAGGCCCAAACTTCTCTGTTCTTTAACTTAAACCAAGGCTGATTAAAGAAATTACATCAAACTGCACTCACTGGCGTCAGGGCTCAAAGAGCCCCTTAACTTCTCCACTTCCCAAACAGATGCCCAGGGAGAGAGCCACACGACTGGTTAAGACCAGTCCACTGGCTTGACATGCTTATCACTCATATGTTGACTTGACTCAGAAAGGGGCAGAGGAATGAATGAAAGATAAACGGATGGAAAGCTGAGGTGAGGAGGAAGGGAGGAAAGGTGGTGGAGAGGGAAAGAACAGGGTACCAAAAGAAGTTGTCTTTACCTGCTCTGGCTAGCATCTCAAATTCCGACACAGTCTCGATCAGAGGCTGCATACCTTTAGTCGTCGCCTCAGTGAAGGAAAGCTCCTGGCTTTGGTTCTTGGCCATCTGGGTCAATGCTTCAGGGTTGCTCACCCGGGAAGGCTTCAGGAACACCTTTGGTTCAATGTCCAGCTCAAACTATTTAAAAAAAAAGAAGAAAAGAAGAAGGAGCAGCAGCAAGACAATCAGTAAAGTCTCCCAAATGAATAATACAATCCTGGGAAGGATGTAGTCCACCTAGCAAGTGAGAAGAGGAGAGAAATGGCTACGACCACAAAGTCACGATAACACCAAGACTCAAACTTAGGCCATCTACCTAGCAGTTTTGTTTTGTTTTTTTACTGTAATCTAAAAGGACTTAGATCATTATTCCGAAAACCAGATATACTATTTTCAATAAAATGGCCAAAAACTCAGTATTGCATTGGGACCAAGACAAGTCCTATTCTTCTCAGGGATAACTACTCCCTGAGGATTCAAGGACACTGGAATAACATGAGATAAACCAAATTCTTTACTGGACTGAGCCATCCACCAGGATGTTGAGCATGCGGTAAAAAATGAATGCTTTATATACCAATAAATTACTGTCAAAGACCTAACCCCAAGCTGAAAAACTGAAGAGCTAAAGCTGAGGATTAAATGAGATAATATATGTAAAATACTTTGCAAACGATAAAGCTCTATATAAATATTAGCTATTATAATTCAAAATTTTTTATAACGACAGTATTGGGCGAAGTACCTGGGACATGTTAAAACTAAAAGAAAGACAAACAAATCAGGTGACCTCAATCATGCAGAAGCCTAGGCTAGCTTCATTTTCTGTAAAACGAGGCAGTTGGACTAAATGATCCCTAAACCCTATGATCCTATAACTTCTGACAATAACAGCTGACACTTCCAAAGTTCCTTACAAAGTGTTTTCTGTACATAATATTTTGTCTTCACAATAGCCTTGTGAAATAAGTAGGAAACACACATATTATTAGCACCCTTATTTTACAGATAAGAAATAATTTGTATAAAGTTACACAATTGGAAAGTTGCAAATCCAGAACTCAAACATACTAAGTCCAGAGCTCTTTTTGCTATGTCAAATTACTTGTAAATTTTGCCATGGAAAAGGGGTGGGAGGTGTGCTAAAAGTTTTAGGGGGAAATGTCATTTTCTCAGAGGGTGGCCGTCCCAGTTTAAGAGAAAACAAAAATAGTCCAAAGGAAGAAAAAAAGGTTTTTGCCTGAATTATTCTATGTTTCCCCCACCATGTAAAACTCTAAGACAGAGATGTAACCTAACGTGATAAGCTCATCTCTCCCCTGGCCTGTCCAAGGCCTGGTTATACTTAGGGCAAAGTAGGGATAATGTGACTTTTTGACCAGAATCCCAGAGCCAAGGAGCAAGTATTCTCCCAGAAGAGATCGACAAGGGATCTACCCAATCCCCTGGTAAACTGAGGATCTTCCAGAAGGGCTTCAGCTTATAGTGATTCTTAATACAGCTTTACTACAACCTCTACCCACTGACCTTAGCTCTCCCTGTGTAGGCAAGCAGAGGGAAGTCGGAAGTCTAATTCTTCTTCCATATGACATTCAGATATCTGAAGACTGTGATCCTACCTCATCCAGACGGTCAGAAGACCAGAATGATGGAAAGAACATTAGTCTTGGGACTCAGAACAACTAAGTTTGAGTTCTGGCCCTGCCTCTTATTTTGTATGACAATGAACAAGTCACTTCAGTTTCCTCATCTATAAAATGGGGGTAATAACACATGCATTCCCTAATTTGTAAACTGATGTGCTAAAGAAATGTGAGCTGTCATTCAGAAAGACTATAAGCCATGAAATCCTCTTCAGGAAAGTATTTGGCCTCAAAAAATGACTTTTTTCAAAGAGATGACATTCAATTGGATGTACACCTGGTATAGTGGAAAGAAGTAGAACAGGCATCAGGAGACTTGAGGCTCAAGTGCTGATGCTATACCTTTACAGTGTCTAGCCCTTATACGTGGAATGCCCTCCCTCATTACCTCCACCTCAAGAGTCCCTTTCTTCCTTTAAGACAAAGCTCAACAATCATCTTCTGCACGAAGCCTTGGCTGACTCCTCCCAACCAGTGCCCACCTTCCTAAACGATCGTGTCTTTAACTACTTTGTACACATTTGTATCAATTTACTTTATATTTAAGGTATATATATTTATATATATACATACTCGTCTTCTGTGTCATTCTTTATATCTGTATCCTCAGCAACTGGCACAAATGGTGCTGGGAATACAAATACAAAGGCAGCATTCCACACTGGCATCTGAAAAATTCTTGTTGACAGGTGTGGTGGCACACACCTGTAATCCCTGCTCCTGGGGGGAAGCTGGGGCTGGTGGATGGCTTGAGTCTGGGAGCTCTAAGCCTCAGCAGGGTGAAAGCCGACCAGGGGTCTGTCTACAATAAGTCCCACATTAATACGGTGAACTCCCAAGAGTGAAGGGCCACCAGGCTGCTTAAGGAGGGACCAACCCAGGTGGGAAAAACAGATTCAAGCTTCTACTCAACAGCAGTAGGACTGAGACTCTGAGGGGCTGCTGCACTTCCAGCCTAGGCAAGACAGGGAGACCAGCTGACTGACTGATTGACCCCTTCACTATGATTTCACTCTAACTTTGGTCCAGTCATTTTCCTTATTTAACCCTCTGGCTTCCCACCTGAACATTAGGGAACGGGACGAGGTAAAGCTCTAGTCTAGCTCTAAATGGTAGGATTCCATGTGAATAATTGAAATTGACATAGCAGTAGAGTCCAGGGCTAGAAGACCCAGGTTCTAGTCTTAATTTTGCCACTATTTTGCTAGTGGCTTGTTGCCAAGTCCTGCTGATTTCACCTTTACAACACCCCTTCTCTTTTCTGACATTGCCACCACCTTGACACAGGCTCTCCCTCACCTCATTTTAGGGTAGGGGGAGATGACATCAGTTGCCATTTATAGTCATCCAGCATACCCCCCTGAACTTACCTTGACTGAGCTGTTCTCAAACATCTCTACTGTCATTTCATCTTCTTCCTCCTCCTCTTCTTCCTCCTCAGACTCTATCACCATGCCCGGGAAGCTCTCTGCATCACAAAACTGGAGGAAGATGGGAGCTCGGCTGGAGTTGTGCTGAATTTCTACTCGAAGGATGCCATCTCTGGGCCACTTGTCTCGCACATGCTCCAAACAATTAATAGGGGTGCGCGAGAAGGCAATGTGGATGTAGGCCAGAATGAAAAGCACAAAGAGTGCCTAAAAACACCAGGAAACAAGAAAACTAAAGTCAATAATCATATTTATTTCAATGAAGTCCAATAGCCATGTATTAAATGACTATTATATGTAGGACACTATTTTTGGTGTTGAAGGAAGTATAAAACTAAGTAAGGTGTGACCCTGACCCTCTGGGAAACACCTCAGTCTGACAATGAAAAAGAGATATACAATTAATAAGAAACAAAATTAATATAGGTAGTGCTTTGTGCTTGTTGGTGGGAGAGGTACAAATAAGAGTAAGTGGCAAAGAGGCAGATATAGGCTTAATGTGAGGACAATATCAGAGCTAACTAAAAGTAGAACTGGCCATACTGGGACTTAATGGGTTCTCCATCCATCAGAGGTCTCCAAACAAAGGCTAGATGATCACTCGTTGACTATGTTGCAGAGAAGATCACTGTATAGGCTAGACTAGGTGACTTCTGATGGTCCTTCTAATGCTGACATTCTGTAAATAAAATATGACCACCATCCTGAGGGATTCCTTTTTATAGTCTAGTAGGGGGGATAAGACTTAAAATTAACTGTATAAGACCCAAAGAAAGTAGGATTATTTCAAACTAAGTGATCAGGGAGAGTTCCTGGAAGAGGTGCAATCTGAGCTGCGTCCTGAATTTAACAGGCAGTGATTGAAGTGGGGGTAAGGAGCAAGTACATTCCAATGGAAGAGAACAGCATGAGCAAAAACGCAGAGAGGTGAGAAAGAATATATGTTGTTCAAGGAACAATGAATGGCCTGTGCCAGCTGGATCAGTTTACTGAGAAGGACTGAGAAGGAAGAATGTGAGATAAGATTGGACAGCCATGCTAGCACTGGGCTGCGAAGGGGTTTGGAATCTTATTCACTAGGCTTAAAAGAGAGCCACTTAAGTATTTTAAGAAGAGGAGGGACATGATCAGAAGTATGTATAAATTAAATGTCTGGAGGTAGGAGCATAACAACCAGCAACATGTCTAAACTTGGCACTCCAAATAAAAAGCTATAACACAAGTAAAGGACTTCAGTCCTTTTTATAGGTTTCCTTTCTTTTCCTTATACTTTTTTCTTTTCTCTTTTTTGTGAGGCAATCGGGGTTAAGTGACTTGCCCAGGGTCACACAGCTAGTAAGTGTCAAGTGCCTCAAGCCACATTTAAACTCAGGTCCTCCTGCCTCCTGGGCCAGTGCTCTATCCACTGCATCACCTAGTTGCCCCTGATTTTAGTCTTTAAGAGGCAAAAAACCAAAGTCCCTTGAGGGTTGGCCCAAGGAAGCTCACTGAAAACTGACGGGGTGGGAGGGCTGGAAAAGGCCCTCCTCATAAACAGACCTTCTGCCACAACAGGACTTCTTCAGCTCTGAGTGCCAGGGACAGAAGGACAATGGACTGTAAGCTCCAGGAGAGCAAGGCCTATGTAATTTTTCATCTCTGAATTCCAAGCACCTGAACAGGGCCCTGCACATAATAGAAGATTGGTAAATAAATGTTCACTGAATTGAATGTAAAGACTGCCCAGAGAAAGGGCAGCTCAACATCACAAGCACAGAATGAAAATAATATAAAGTCTGCTGGTTTATCCAGCACTGTACTTGGAATCAGGATCTGAGTTCAAGTACTAACTGCTACTGTGGACAAGTAACTTCACCTTTAACATCCAAAAAAATAATAATATTTGTAACTGTTATCTCAAAGGTCTAATGTGAGAAAAGCTCACTGAAAATGAAAAATACTACAGAAACATAAGCTGTTATCCAGAAATGAGAATAATCGCATAGCTGGGCCCTTCCTCCAGATCTAAACTCATGCTTGGCTCTAGAGAACAGAAATAGAAGTAAAACGGGCTAGGGGTTAAGGGAAAGGAGAAAGGGAGAGACTTCAAAGAGACACATTTCAGCTCAACCCTAGAAATAACATCTTAACAATCCTAGCAGTCCAAAAGTCAAAAAGGCAGTTTCAAGAGAGAGTGAAATTGAAGGTCTGCAACGGTAATGCCAGTAGTTCATACATCTCACTGGGTGGTTGTGGTTCAAAAGAAACAATGTTATGTAAACAGTTTTGCAAACTTTAAGGTACTATATGTAAAGGTCAGTTATTGTAAAAGTGGGAGGTAGATGATTACTTCCTGGGGAAGTTAACAGAGAGAATTCATGATCTGAGTAGAGGTTGAACCAATTTTTGAGGTCCGTTCCAACTTAAGGTCTATGATTTCACAATTTTTTTTAAGGGAGAGGAACTAGATAACCCACAAGTCAAAAACAAAGTGGCTGTTTATTCCTATGAACCCCATCTCAACAACCATGGCTACTAGGGGATGAACTATTTCTACAAGTTTATGGCCTCTCAAGACTGCGCAAAAAGAAACTGCCTTATTGCTCTCTATTATGGACCAAAATTTTTTATAATGCAGCTTTGGACTCCATGAATAGTGATCTGTCATGGCTCAAAAAGGATGAACCTGGCAGAAGAGAAATACCTTTGCCAGCCAGTTTCAGACTCCATAACCTTACTGTATTACAAGTATGATGAGCCTTTATCCAGTTCTCATGGAATGGATGCTGTAAAGATCTTTTTTGAATTTCAGCATGAATCCATTCCCTTAACCAAAGTGCCACAAACACAAGCCAATGGAAATAGAGAAAATGGGCAAGAGCCTTATCCCAAGGAAAGAAAGTATGCCCTGTGTATATTTTCTCTAATCATAGGGATCTCTAGAATGGAAAGGGGTTCATCTGTATAACCAGACTATTCAGCAGTACTAACATATTCTTTTCTAGTAAATGTTGGAATCTTACTTCTAATGGAGGTGTTCTGCTCTCTACAATACTGTGCTGCCTCTGGGGCACTGACCTGAGAGGCCTTCCTGTGAAGCATATAGGGCAAGCACTGTCAACTGTATTTTAAAGATGAGGAAACCGAGGTTCAGAGAAAGAAGGGACCGTTTCAAACAGAAAATGGCTAAGCCAAGAATCAAAACAGTCTTCATCATCTTTCTCAATCAATAAGTATTTGCTGAGTATCTACCACATGTTCATTACTGCGCTGCTTGCTGTGAAGGAGATGTAACTTTAAGTGTCTGTCTAGCACGAATCCTAGTCAAAACTATGCCACTACCTTGGGAAAGTCAAGTCCTTTCCCTGGGCCTCAGTTTTGTCAACTATAAATCCTAACACTGGCAGCACTGACCACCTCACATGGTTGTTCTGTAAATCAAAGGACAATGGACATAACATAAGGAGATTTGTAACTATAAAACGCTGGTTCTCAAAGGGTTGCCCTAGATTGTATGAAATGTATACTTATGATCACCTTTGGGAGGCCACAAATTTTAAGAAAATAGAACTTGCAATGGCATGTGCTTAACAAAGACTCCCAACTCTCCCACAGCAAAAGACAGCTGGGATTCCTCAGAGCAAAGAATACTGAGCTGCCATGAGCAAAAGAAAATTGAGAACCACTACTACCAAGTGTTACGTAAATGCCAGTTATTATTAGTATCATCACATGAAGAAGCGAATATTCTTAAATTGTAACTGAATTCTTCAAAGCAAACACTGTACAATGCATCACACCACATAGGTTTGGGTCACTGCTGCATCACTGTGTGACCATGATACAGACACAACCTCTGAGCCTCAGTTTTATCTTCTACAGTTAGAAATTAACCCCAAATCCCATACGCAGAAGATATCCTGTCCCTTTCTGCTCTTCTCCATGTACCAACCACAGCAGGGATCTCTAGGGATCTCTAACCATCCATCAGCCATCATACCCTCAAAATGATTTCCAAATGCCTAGATTCTAAACCAGCCGTTGGATTCATGTGCTTGTCCCTTAGATTCCTCAGTTTATTTCTTTTTCTTCACACGGAACCAGGTTTTACTACAATATTTCAAGTTCAAATGTTCTCAATTATTAGCTACTCAACGACAGATCAACACCAGCAAGTCCAGGAGGCCGAGATGTTTACTCTGGAAATATAAACAAAGAGTCTATCAGCCTCAACAGTCTACCAGTCATCAGCACACTAGGATTTTACTAGGTGCTTGGGGCTACAACCCAAATTGCTATCTGGAGTCCATAAATTCAGATCCTCAGTACAAGTATAAGAAAAGCATGACAGGTTTTATCCAGATAAGACTAAAAGACTATTTTTAGAACTGGAAATGACCATTGGGGTGATGATTATAACAAAATTGATGACAGCACATTTATACAGAACTTAATGGTCACAAAGTCTTTTATATCCATGATCTCACTTGATCTTTTACATCACGGGAATTTAGAGTTGGAATGGGTCTTAGAGAAAATTTAGGGAAAACAAGGCCCAGAGAAGGAGAGTCTTACAGTTAAAAGGGACTTCAGTGCACATCCAGTCCAACCCATGCCCAACCCAGAATCTTCCTTAATGCTGTGCTTTCCCCATAAGATCATCTCCAATTTAATCTGCATTTGTGTGTGTATATAAACACACATACATATCTATACAACATACAGTTTGTACATCAATGTTTGTATACTGTCTTCCCCATCAGACTGTGAGTTCCTTGAAGGCAGGGATTGTTTTTGCCTTTCTTTGTATTCCCAGCAATGCCTGGCACAAAGCAGGTGCTTGAAAAATACTTGCTGACTTGGCCACGAATCCTTTCTACAACATAAGTGGCAAGCGATCATCTAACCTCAACTTCAAGACTCCCAACAGAAACTTTCCATAGCGAGCTAATTCACTTTTGAAGAGCACTAATTTTACTTTATTTGTTCTTACATCAATCCTAAATCTATCTCTTTGCTACTTCTACCCACTGCTCCTAATTTTGTTCTCTGGGGCCAAGCAAAAAAGACTAGTCCCCTACCACTTGGAGGAATGAGTGGAAATTTAAAGTTTAACAAACACTTTAAAGTTTAAAAACTTGAAGACAAAACTATAATGACTATTCAGTCTTCTCTGACATAGCGTGATAGAGTGGAAAGAGTACTGGGTCTGGAGTCAAAGGACTTCA